GATCCGTCAGCCCTCCCAGCGTGCCAGGTACCTTGAGCGAATCGGCTTGGGGCGGGTGACCCCCGCCGGCCCCTTCGCCAGCTCTTCTAGAAAATGACAGGGCATAGTGGTCCCAGACACCTGCAAGATTGAGGGGCTCCTTGCGTATTTGCCGACCTCGCCTCGGCAGAGACCAGGGCCATGGTTTCCTTTTCAAGTGGTTTGCGCCGAGAGAGGATCGCACGTCAGCGCTTTCCGGTCAGTGATCATTTCAAAAATCGACATAGCGTGCAAAAGAACCATTTCCAGGTACCAACGCCATGAATGTCACCCAAAACCAAGCCGCAGTACCAGACATCTCAGATGACCGACCCCCCCCCCCCTTCTCTCCGTTGGAATGTTGAAACCCCGCCCAACACCACGGCGTCCCGGGCCCCGGACCATCATCGTAAATCGGGTTTCGGCCGGACTTGGTCAAGTCCGAGTCTGTAAAGATCGACCGGTCTCCAGGCCTAGATCCGGCTTGCACGGCGCGTAATTGCGAGCTTCATCTCGGCCGAAAGAATGGTCTCATTCGAATGGTTTTCCACCCTTGGATATCAGGACCAAAGATACCCGGCGCCTGCCCCCCTCCATTAGCCTGACACAAAACGCTGGTACCGTAGTAGATCTTCAAGAGAGAGAGACAAGAGAAAGAAAAAGAAAGCAAAAAAAGAATTAATAAAAAAGGGGGTCTTTGTGGCGCCGGTCACCGTGTGATCGCGTGCCTTGGTCAAATGGCCCCCTTGGCGGCGTGTTGCATGACATTGGTGGGACCAATCTTGGGCCCGCGTATGGAGAATTCTACCATCGTACGCACGTAAGGCTCCTTAGTGATTGATTCTCTGGTCCTCAAGCCGGATCTGGCCGTTCTAGTCCAGGGTACATCCAATGAAGTCTCTGAAAATTGCTCTCTTGACGGCAGCGGTGCCAGAAAAGAAGCAGGACTTGCAGAGATCAATACCTCGCTGCTGACCTCATAATCGGCAGAGTGCGGCGTTATAAGTGTGTCCAGATCAGGCCTAGCTCCGGTAAAGCGATCCGTCCCAACCAGCAGTGGCAGGGATACTTTTTGCTTGGTTTACTAGGTATGTGAAATGTGTTGCGCAATTAGCCACGGTTCCTCAGGACCGATTTTATGTTCCAGAATCGTGAACCCAGAACAATTGCACATAGTATGCGTAAAAGGCGAGCGAAGGGAAGTGTTTGGGGAAGTTTGAGTTGCGGAGAACCTCGGTGGCTCCCCCCTCCCCCTCCCCAAACGGTCCTCGCTGACACACCTAGGAGGAGGGTGCCCAATGGTGCCTCAACAAGAAGCGAGCCATCTCAGACGCGCTACTGGCTGCTCAAAACCATGGTCTCTGCTGCAGGACCCATAACGATGTGTGTCAACAAGAACCGGAAACGGATCCGAGGGGTGACGTCTTTGTAAGCGAAGCGTAATGTAAGCAGAGCACCGACATGCGAGATGAGGCACTCAAGCACTCCAATAGTACTGACTTCATGCTGATGCGCACGAAAAATTGCCCATGGCGGAGATTTGCTGACTGGCTTGAAGAGCGGTACGGAGAGGTTGTTTGAAGCCCCGAGAAGGCGCCGTGTTTCCAGCCCTACCATCATCCCCTGTAGCCGGGGCGGAATGGCATCACGAGCACACCCCCCTTTCGAGTCACGGCAGTGCGGCCTGCAGTAGCGGGGGCAGCTTATAATGCGGCCCCAATATGAGATGCAGTCCTTCTGACGTGCGACTATTGTCCTCAGCCAGATTCAGATTGCGCCCTACCCATGCCGACCCGCCCAATCGACGTGCGAAGAACCTGCGTGCATTGGGCTCACACTCTGAGGGCGGAGAGACCTGTCGGAAGCAAAGACGTGAGGGCGGCGCCGCATCGACAGAAGTCCATCTTTTGCCCGGCGTCAAGCGCCAAGTTCCGCAATCCTCCCGCCGCAGACATTCGTGGTGAGCCTTGACCAGCCACGTGCCGCTCTGTAGTTCGATTCATATCTGCACAACGATTAGCCTCTACGGCAATGTTAATGAGCTGCCTTCCCAAAACGTTGGCATGGGTGCCAGACCGGTCGAGACCCATAGTGAATGTGTCATCCGACACCAGACGTGTTGGGTGCTATGCACCGAGGGGGGGAGGGGGTGTCAGTCTCGCTTATCTAGGGCCACTCGAGACGCATTCAGCCCCCGTGTGTAGGGCTGGGTATTGGCCGAAATCTCCAGATGTTGCACGAGCCGTCTGGGGATAAATGCTGTCATCAGTGCGCGGTCACCTCGGATCCTTCCAGAACCATGCCGTTGGCCGGCATGAGGTGCTCACCTGAGCGAGAGCACTCATCAGATGTCATTTGTTGCTGTGATCTGCGAACCTTTGATCCTCACACTTTCTCGGTACAAGGTAAGTCTCAGCCCCACAGGAGAGCATGAAGCTAGCGAAGTAGAGCTGCCCTGTATGTAACGTCGAGTTGCACTCGGATCGAATTGACCAACAGATGACAGTTCTTGCAAAGAAGGCAATATCGGGCTGACTTTGCCGGTCATACTGCAGGGGAATAATCGGGATGCATGGCGGATCCACGGCGACGGCTTCTCAGTATTTGCAAAACTTTGTCTCTGATGGGGCTTACTTCTGTCTTGTTTTTTGTTGGGGCCTTTTTCAAAAATTTAGAAGAAAAAAATGATTGAAGGAAAAGGGTTTGTCCGGCAGGGGCAGCCTTGTGTGTGCCACACACCAGCATGCCGGTACTTGTATAGCCTGCTTCTGTGCGGATGCCATCAGTATGAGGATGGTAGCAGACGACGAGCTACGTCAGACCGGTCAGGCGTTCTTGGTAGGCCGAGAGAGAGGGAAACACTACCCGATGGCATCGTCCCGTACCAATAGCACGACGGTTGTCGAAACCGGCCCTGCCTCCTGTTTGCTTCTCAGGGCAAGATCACCCTGCGATGGGTACAGGGTTGCTTCAATGGCCCTTGCTCACTCCGACTCTCTCTCTGGGAAACCATCTCAGGGCCCCTGCCGCCCCTCTCTTTCTGCAGGCCGTTCTGATCTGCGCGATGATCGGCCCTTTCCGTTCGCGAGTGGTGCTAGACCTGTGGTTACGACTGGTCCAGCAGTGCGATGGCCATGGTGCTGTGGCTCTTGATGGGCATGATGAGACCCTCCTTCCAATGCAAGGTGACCATTACGGCAGTTAGGCAGCCTTCAAGCCCCAAGAAGCTGCCGTCAAGGTGATCAGCGGGTTTCCGGCCGGGGTGATCATTGAGGAACAATTTGCGCAGGCACCTAGTCACTACCAATGATGAAATCACAGACCACAATCTGGTGAAAAGCCACCGGCTCATTATGGCGTTGACGCTCGCCAGGATCGTTATAGTGCAGCGATCCTTTGCGCGGAACGGAGCCGGAGGCCCGAATCGTTTGACGCATATATTCTGGAAGCCATCCTTCATATGTCGTTGCCAAAGTTGGCTTGCTGGCCGAAAGCACATACGAAATATCGTTGCTTGTTGCGGCAGAGGAGCAGTCACATGTCGACTTGTGCAACATCCTCGAGCAGAACAGCTCTCAGAGATTTGTTGCGTTGTGGGCCCGAAATCCTAATCGAACGCACTCCTGTGAATCTCTAGATAGTACATACTTCGAGTCGAGTACTAGCTGCCTGAGGAGTCATGTTCCGCAAACACAATAACTCTGCATCTGGGTGGAGCAAGAGGGCACCAATAGTCCAAGATAAGATGCATGGCTCTTCTTCAGGGAACTCGGTCAGTGCGACTATCGACCTGGGAGCAAAACAACGTGCCAGACATGCCAGATGCGTTCCTACAACAGGGTAGTCCGTAGGATGGTGGATTGTTCTGCAGGGGCAAAGGGAGACAAGCCATACCCGCATCGTTCTGCTGTTTGAAGCTGTTGCCCAGCTGCGAGCGGCCAGAGTTTGGTCTCCTTGGGCAGGCTCAAGCTCACGCCGCTTGGCCTTTTGCTGTCGCCTGCCTTTCTGACTTCATGACTATCGTCAGCATCGGTGACTTTCGGATAGGGAGCTCTAATCTGGCCCTGGTCGAGGTTGTCTCTTACAATGATCCGACGACTCGCCATGCGGCTGTCGCTGCTGTCGCTGCTACTGCCTTGTCTTGGTGCTGGTGATCGGATTCCATTCCGACGAGTGTTGGTTGATATAGGCTCGGGTCCAAACCGGCAAGATTGCCACGAAGGGAGGAAGCGTGACCACGCTTCCGCGCGATGGCACTCCCGAAATGTCCTCATGACGCAGTCTCAGATTCTGATGAGACCAAAATGGAAGGTGGAATCCTCTTCTAGTTGGCAACTGCGTCTCTCGACGTACGCACCTTCCGCACCGCACCGTCTCATTCTAGGCAGCCATTATAGGTCGCCGTAACGGTGTAAAGCAGCAAAGCGTCTAGGTGGTGGGCCTGCAGTCGTCTCAGGATATTCAAGAGCCTCATCCTACCGTAGAGTATGTTCAGGCGTTTGTCGTGCTCATCGTCATCGCCTGAGGAGGCCAAGGCCAAATTCTTGGAGAGAGCAGGCCCGGGGTTAGGGTTATTACTCTGAGATCGAACCTGTAATACTTCCTGAGCATACACAGAAGGCGCCTGAGAAGGGGGGGAAGGAAAGAAGGGGGAAAAGGTTTGATTGATCGAGGTGAATACTTGGCCTTCGTGATGAAGTACATACCTCGTGGTACTTTTTCGCACTCAACAGAGACATCTTGACAACAACACCTGAGCAGGCTCAGTAAAGACCAAACCCAAACCACCCCTCTTTCTTACACTTCAACCTCGGTCGACGATATGTTTCAAAATCATCCGATACCAAATATGTGCAATCGTGCATTGGGTCGTATCGAGCTGCTGCTGCTGCTGCTGCTGCTTCTGCGAGGTATTGAACTTATTGAACCTGGCCAGAGCAATTGTACATCCTAGGTCACGAAACTCCCTCCTACACCTGCTCTTAATCTTCGCTCCTCGCCAGGTTGGAATGCAGCTTGTGCTGTTTCATCAAGGACACGCATATCAACCCTGCGATCCCGAGCCCCAGCGTAGTCAACCACACACCCCGAAAGGCCTCCATGAAAGAAGCAATGACCCCTTCCCCCCAGCCCGCCGGCAGACGCCTCAGCTCATCCAGGTCATCCCTGATCCTCTTGATCTCCTCCGCCGCGCCGGGAAGCGACCCGAACCTGTCCCAGAGCCGCGCTTTCAAAATATTCTGGTACACCACCGAGGCGACGGTGACGCCCAGTGTGGCCCCGACAGACCGGAAGGCATACGTGGCCGACGTGATAACGGCCTGCTGGGCATGATCGACAGCCGCTATGCAGGCCAGCAGCGTCACCGTGAGCATGCCGCCGTAGCCTCCGCCGGTGAGGACGAAGGCTGGGAAGGGGACCCAGCTGGGGCTGTTCTCGTCGAGGGTTGTGATGAGAGCCGCGCCGGCGACGAAGGAGAGAACGACGCAGATCCCCAGGCCGAGATAACGGCCCGTCTTCTTCATGATAACCCCGCAGCCGAGGGAGCTGACGGAAACCCCGAGACTACCAAAGAGGATTCTGAACCCCGACTGTGTGGGCGAGTAGCCAAGCACCTGCAGGTAGATGGGCACGTAAAAGATGAGGATGGTGTTAGCCATTGTACACACCAGGTTCGTCATGCACGCAGTGAAGACGGTGCGGTGGATGAGGAGCCTGACGGGGATGATGGGCTGCGCACTCCGGCTCTCCCAGGCGATGAAGGCGATGAGGAGGGCCAGGGCGAGGGGGAGGGTGGTCAGGACGAGCGGGTCTGTCCACGGCACGAGATTCCCTCCTGCGTTCAGACCCAGCAGCAAGACGACGAGGAAAGACATGATCAGGAGGGCCCCGACGAAGTCAATCCTGGACAGCGCCGACTTGTTTGACATCTTGGGCGGCACCCTGACCAGGAAGAAGACCAGCAGGCCCGAGACCACCACCACAGGGACCTGGACGAGGAAAGCCAGCCTCCATCCCCACGAGGACGTATCATTGACAAAGCCTCCAAACACACCACCCAGCATGGCTCCTGAGCCAAAGCAAATGTTTCCAATCCCCTGGATTACGCCTCTCTTCCTGAGCGGGACCAGATCAGAGGCCAGGAATGTAGAAATTGCCATCAGGCCGCCGCCGCCAATGCCAGCCACCACACGGCCGACGATTATGACCGTGTCACTCTGGGCAAGACCACAGATGAGGTTGCCCGCCGCAAAGAAGACGTTACTGAACACCAGGCCCGGGCCCCTCCCAAAGATATCCGTCAGACGGCCCGAGATGGGTTGACAGGCGGCGTTGGCAATGAGGTATGCGGCCGCCAGCCATGACAAGAGACTCAGGGACTTAAACTCGCTCGATATTGGCGCCGAGAGCGTCGCGATGATGGTGGTGTCTATGGCACCCAAGAAGACGCCGACATATGCGCTGCTGAGGATGACCCAGAGTCTCGCGCCCGAGACGTCCGTGGCGAGGACAGTCTGCTCCTCCTGCGTCCCATCTTCTGGACCTGCCTCATGCCGCTCCATTTGGCCATTCAGAAGCGGTGTCCGCTCATCGCTGCGCGCCTCCTCAACAGCGGGCGCTTGCCTCGGGTCGACAATGATCTCGTCACCGCGGGGTTCCATTTTCCTTACTAATTCCAAGCTCTGCCACCTTGTGTACCTCGGAAACCTAAACACACATCGCAGAAAGGGAATAAGAATAGCGGGGAAGTAGAAAATAAACAAGTTTAGAACTTCAAGTTCAGCCACAATAATGGATTCAGAAGGGTGAAATATGCAGCAAGTCTTGCTTCAATTCCGATTATGCAGGATTGACGTTGGACTAGATATGGAGAAGCTTAATTTTGGGCGATAGCCGGCAGATCGGCAAGATTACTTCTCGCTCAGCTGCTGTGCAAGCTACTGGACGCCTTCTCGGCTCAGGAGGGAAGACCCCTGCGCGGCCGGCTCTACAGAGCCAAAGCGTAAAGTAATTACTTAGTAGGTACTGTAAAATCGTCATTCAACTATCACAGCGTCGAAAGCGCCAGAGCAAATGTACAATTCATGCATGGTGCTACAGAAATTTTAGAGATACTGATGCAGTGCGACTTCCCTCATGCCTGATGCCGACGTTCTCAAGTCTTGTTGAACTTGAGGGCGAGACATGATTCTAGTGCGCACGAGACACGAAGCCCTGCGGTTCCGAACTATTGACAACGTCCTCTTGATTGATTCAGGAAATCTACCAGCAAGTTGGTTACTTTACAGCTTTGGTAAACGACTCGATATAATCTTAAGACGTAGGTTCTCAGAGTCAATTGTCCTGGTTCTGCTAACATGTGAACATGCGATGCCAGCACCATGAGGACTCCTAGCAAATTATAGGCCGCAATGAACTGACCACCTATCTAATTGAGATTGATACTCTTAAACACCGACTTCTCATGGCTACTCTTTTAATCAGCCAGATGTACAATGTAAAGCAACATAAGTAAGTAATCAATTCGATTGAGAGGGCTCTACGGCAGTCCATCTCTCCTTCCAGTCAACACTGCTTCCTATTCTGATGGTAGTTATCTTCTCAGAAATAAATCAGTGACTCACTTGCACTTTATCAATCCAAAGTCTGTCCCAAGGATCGAGATCCTAATAAAACGGGCCGCATTTTCACCATCCAAGGAGACTTGTCCTCGAATTTTTTTGAAATTCGTGCATATCCGTTACGATGCTGTATATTGAAGAAGTAGGATAAAGCTGTTTGTTTGCCCGAATGCGAAATGACATCTGTATTTTTTTTTTTTAAAAAAAAAGAAAAAAAAAGGAAATTGTAGAGTCCTTGCACTTTGATGTCACTATAACCAGGATTCATACTGGTTCATGTTTTGTGTCTTGATCTGTCTGAAGCAATTCGTCTCGTGCTACCAACGCCTAGGTAGTCCTCCGCCAATACACACGCAATCCAAGCCGGTGAGGTCACCGGAGAAGAGATATGCCCTAACCACCAAAGTGAGAGGGAAAGTAAATGCATGTACACCAAAGCCAGCGGATTATCAGGCGGCTCGCTTTGGCGACCAGCATGCCATTCTCTTTGTCGCCGTTAGGGGGAACAGGGCAAAGCCAAATTATATGGACTCAGACCGAAGCAACAGAAAACGACTGTAAAAATGACCGCGAGCAAGACAAACCAAGAACTACACACTTCTCCCTTCACTCTTCAAACTTCCCACCCTTGACACCATACCTCCAGCCCATATATCCAACGGTCCCCGGCACGCTCCCCAACCCCCCAGCGCCCACCACTCCACGCCAGCCCGCACCTCTCAACATCCCACCGACCGCCGCCGCCCCGACCCCAGCCACCGCGCCGCCGTACGTCCAGTCATCACACTCCACCTGGCCCTTGTTATGCAGCAGCCGCCAGCTCCTGTCCTTCCACTCGATGTCCTCGCGGCCCCACATCCGGCCCACAAGGGCGACGGCGAGCAGAGCCGTGCCGATGGTGGTGCCCCTGCCGGCTGCCTGGAGGAAGAGGCCCCTGTTAGGTGTGGACAGTGATGATGGTGCTGCTGCTGCTGCTGCTGCTGCTGATGATGATGATCCAGCTACGGTGCCGGATGATGGGGGAGACGTGCGCCTGGAGGCGATGCCCCGTATACCAAAGCTGGCGGCGCCGATGATGGCGCCTGTTGTTGCGCCGCGGGTGAGGACGTGTGTGGTGAGGATGATGTAAGCAAGGGGTTGGTCCTCTGCGTATTCTGCGTGGGGGAAGAAGCGAGACATGTTTGAGGGGTTGAGATGATATTCGGAGGCACCTGTCCCGATGCTTCAAGGTCGTTGTTTGGAAGGAATAATGAAGTAACAAGTGGCTCTAGGGCTGCTGATGCCGTTGTTGTTGCCGCTCGCAACTTGAGAAGAAGAGTCGTATAATATGATGAGATGTTATAGGCAGGGGATTCGATAGGCTCAAGGCTTGACTGAAGAAGTAACTAATGACTATAGTACTTGGTGAACAAGAGCATATAATGTCGCTGTGATTTCATCCCATGAGGCGGGGGTTAAGAGCTTCTCATTCAATCCATGGTTGTTTGGCTTGATTATGCGCAAGTCAGCACATCTGCTTATACTTGGATCCAGGGCAGCGGGAACGGAGAGATTCGTTGGCCGTGGTGTTCTAATTTAATTAAGAACTTAAGTAGCTAGTGCGTATTCATGTAGTGCGGCCCAAAATGGCCGGCGCATTCGATTCTGACGAAAGCGAGTGCGAGTCTAGTAAGCAAAAGCACTTGCCTTGGAGTGAACTAATCAATTATTGCATGCGTTCAGAGTATTTATGGCACATGCACCAATACTTGACGGCATGAATAGTCTGTTGATATTTGACTACCTGGACTTGGATAACAATATGATTTGGAAGGGGGGAGGGGCCCAACGAGAAATGCATCGCAATTCAACCTTTCAGGGCAATGGACCGACGACATTGAGAACAAACTCCTCTACGTCTTCGAGAAACAACTCCGGTTGCTCCAGAGCAGCAAAATGTCCGCCCTAATCATACAATAACCTTATGTGAGCACAACTGCAATCGAGAGGGAGGGGAAGAGAGAAACGACTCGCGATTTCTAACAAAAGAAAGAGATCTTTCTCCATACCTTGTCGTGGTCCCTTCGGAACTTCATATTCGGAAAGTGTTTCTGCCAACCCTTGGGCAGAACTGCGAGGTCGCAGAAGGCAGAATACCCCAAGGGCTTGTCCGTCTTCGGCCAGCCTGACTTTTGGTATCGAGCGGAAAAGAGATCCCTATAGGGCCAGATACACCGGGGCAGCGAGGAGGTGAACCAGTAATAGGAGGTCAACTCGAGAATCTGTTCCAGTTCGATGTCCGTATCCGACCACTCAAGGTACTTTTCACCGATCCACGCCAGCAGTGCAAGAGGGTTCGAGGACAGAACCAGGCCTATCGTCGCGGGGCGCGTGGAGTGCTCTATGGCATAGCCCAAGCCCATCTCCCACCAGGTCTTGGCCTTCTTCAGGTGCAGCAAGTCTTCCTCGTCGAGGCCCTCCGTGTTGCTCTGATCCACTTCGGGGCCGGCACGTAGCAGGTTGACTTTTCATTTCAATCATCTTAGTAATTGCGTTCGTCGGTAGGCCACACCTGATTTATTGTTCTTGAAACAGAGAAGAAGACAAGAACAAAGAAAACGACAAAAAACGGAGGGCGAGGGGCAATCATTATCTCAGGATGGGGTTTGAAGAATCTTACCGTGATATGCCTTGCACTCATCATACGTGGAGCTGAGCTGACGAGCCAAAAAGGAGCCCAAATCGCCCCCCTGCGCGATATAGCCGGCACCAAAGCCCAGCTCGACCATGAGCTTGTTCAGGACGCGAGCCGCATCAGCACATGCGAAGTCGCGATCCAGCGGCGGGCCGGACGAGAGCCCGTACCCAGGCAGTGACGGCACCACGGCGTGGAACGGCAGCGTCTCGGCCGTGTACTTGGTCCTGAGGAGATCCAGCATGGGCAGGAACTCAAGGTGGCAGCCGGGCCAGCCGTGCATGAAGAGGACGGGGACCGCATCCTTCTTCTTGGAGAAGAGCGCCGCGAAGTGGATGCTGAGCGGCTGCTGCGGCTCGCCGTCCTCGATCTGGATCTTGAAGTTGGGAAACGAGTTGATGCGCGACTCGTGCTTGCGCCAGTCGAAATCGGTCAGCCAGGTGGTCTTGGCGCTGGACAGCCAGTCCCGTGTGACGCCAAAGTATTTGCCCCCTTCACGGGTGCTGACGCTGTTCTCCCAGGTCTCGGGGCCGATCCGGGACAGTCGAAGGAGGTCTTTGAAGTCTGCGACTTCAGAGTCTGGGACGTGAAGCTGAAAGGGCTCTGCTTTCCCAGACGCAGCCGCTGGGACTGTGTCGAAGCCGTTGAAGGAAGACATGTCTTTGCAGTAGGAAGGTAGGAGGGGTCCGTCGTGTGTACGGTTTCTGTGTGATGAGTCAAGGGTTCTCTGGGAATTTCTCGAACTGAAATGTTTGAACCCCTCATTTGGTATTCACTTCGGCACTTAAGTATGCAACATGACGCCCCCTCCGCATGAGTACAAGCCACGTTTTCCCGGACATATCGTAATATCACATGCCGTAGATATGACACATGCGGATCTTTACTGCCCCCAAAGTACGTGATTTTCGGATATATCGGGGTGACGGTCCCTCGTTTTGCCCGGCCGGATGGAATTACTGCGCCGTAGACACTGTCAAGGTGAAAGAATCGTGAAGTTTATACTATCGCTGTACAATGGTATAAGCTAAATAGTGGACACAGATTCGACTAAAAGTAAGCTGCTATAGTCCAATATAGAATACCTATTTTTCTCTCTTTTTTTATTTATTTTAATCGTCATTTTTTCCAAAATCTTTTGTCTTCCTTTTCGGGGCTTTCTTCTTTCTTTCTTCTCAAAAATCCCCGAAACCTGGGCGAAATCTGGGTCCTTGAGTCGTTGATACGATGGGGAAAGCTACACACCTAGAAACAGGCGGATAAGATGTCTGCCTAAATGCCGGTGCGACGAAAAAACAACCAAGTCCAAGCTCAAAGATGCAGGCTTGCAAATGGCTCTACATGAATCAAGAGACCTTCAAAGAATAGGACTAGCGAAATGAATGGAAACTCTGCAGCCTGATCATCTGGGTGGGACGGCATGCTTACCTGAAAATTTGGTTTGGAGGTCGTCTTTGGGCTTGAAACAGGTGGCCGCTTATAACCTCTGCATGTGTCAAGCCCCTCTGAGTGACCTAATCTGGTGCGAACCACACCCACTTTTTAGCTACCGCTCGGGCGGAACACACCCCGTCTTATTGCCCTAAGATGACCGTGGGGGTTGTCTTTCCTTTAATCGGGACAAGCTTGAGCCAGAGTCATCTTTCGAAAGCTTTTTACCATTCATTTCCAGTCATAAGTAAGTCTGCCTTCCAAGGGGTAGAAAGACCACGGTGTTAAAAGTAAGGTGTTGTCCTCATTGAATCAGTTCCCTAATCAAATCTGACAGAATCCGCTGAGGCGGTCCCGGGATGAAAAGTTACCTACCTTTCCACAACCTGGCGTTCCTTTAGTGACGATTTTCTTGAAACAACCCCCAAAGCAATTCTTGATGCAATGATGCTGCCTTCAAATAGTTGCTTTGATCGTACCTCGCCAGAGATCATGTCGGCCCAGGACGTGGCCAAGCAGGTTGCTTTGAAGAGTTAGCGGGTGGTCGCTGGGTCGCTCGCCTCCAGCTGCTTGGTGTCTTGGCTAAAACGTCTACAATCGCAGCGGAGAAGGGGGGGGGGGGCACTTCGAAAATTCATTCCCGAAAGGGGTTCTGGCGTGAGGACATTCAGGAACATGTAGGACGTCAGGGAGAGAGAAAAAAAACCATATATGTTGAGACCATGAAGCTGGCGAGGTGTTTCCTTCAATGGATGAGTCGAAACCCCAGAATTTACTCGCATTTTCCTTTTTTCCTCTACTTTCATTTCTTTATTGTTCTTCTGTGAAGAACTACTCATTTACCTACACTCACTCAATCAGTCATGACATCCCTCCGGAATTATCTCAGCATCGCTGCCGCGGTGGCCATCACGGGAAACAATGTCGCCTCTGCTCTTGCCGCTTCCTTCCCTAGGTCGTCGAGCCTGATCCTTGAGGATAGGGCTGACTCGACGCAATGGAAGACAGTCCTCGAGATTGGGAGCAGCAAGGTATGTATGCATGCATATAATGACATGATATATAAAAGAGCCCACCTTTGATAAACATCCATACCAAATTGCCCCTCTATGGTCTTCTTCTGACTTCTCCATCATGACAGTGGCACATTGGCGACGCCGTCTCACAGGACTTTGAAAAGAAGTTCATGAAGAATGTGTGCAGCAGCACCGGTTGTGACGCCGGCACCCCGCAGACGTTCCAGTACTTGACAAAGTCCGGTGGCTATACGGCGCTGGGCAAAGGCACCATCACCATGGAGGGCAACAGCAACAACGACACAGCCGTGATCGACAACCTCCTGGATGCCGTCTCGGCAGCTCTGGTCGCGTCGAGCCAGTGCTCCACGACGTCGGCGGAGATGTGTATGAATAACCCCAGCCCGTCCGACACAGCGTCTCAGTGGACAAAGCGCGAGTCGGGTGGCATCGCGCTTGATTGTGGCAAGACTACTTTGTAGGTGATGCTATCCTTTCAGCACTGCCCCATCTCCCTAGCAAGAACGCTCTCTCGGGACTAAACTTTGTTTCTAGCAACGACTGCTACCTCGTGAACTATATCCAGGCGACCATGTACGACGACCAGAGCAACCAGAAGGCCCAGGTCACGTTCAATGGAGCGTCTGAGGACCCGCAGGGCCTGGACTGTGACTCGATCCTGGGCGTCATCTCGGATGCTCTGGGTGCCATTGCGCCGTTGGAGCTCACGGGAGTCGAAGAAATCTCGGGCCTGACAAGCGGTATCTCGGCCCTCTGCACTGTCTTGTAAAGGTATAGAAGAACATGGTCAACGATCGCCGAGGGACGCGTTGGCTGGTGGCGGCCGGCGATGATGCTAAAAATAGGTTGCCGCTACGGCGGGCATCGAACGCCCTGCAAGAAATGTGGGAAGGGCCGCCTCCCGCATTGCGTGTCATTCAAGACTTGAGGTGTGGCTGAGTCGGGTAAAACTGGTACCGTACACGGAATGGATGGCGCAAATGTGAGCAATATTACTGTAGTACAGGGACAAGGAATAAGGAGTTCAGGATCTGTGACTGGGGGACAAGGGAGGAAGGATTGGAGGACGTGTAAGCATAAGCTGGTTTCTTGTGCAGTTTTCATTCGTCCTCTCATAATAAGTTTGCAGAAGAGAGAAGAAATCTACTTCCAGACCCTGAAGCTCTCCAACGGTGTTGATTCCCATCGTTGTGTTGAGATGTGTAAGCGAGAGAGAGCTATGGCAACCGACAGCAATGAGTCGTTGCATTGCAGGGAGGCCAACGGAAAATGTGGGCACAGAATAACTCTGGAGGCAGATAGAAGATCAGCCTTGTGTTGTCGTCATTGCGTAACGGTCGCCAGTTGAGCATGGAAGATCAAGGTCTTGTTTGTAACCCTGGGGTGTGTGTATGTGGTCTGCACGGACAACGGACAAAAGGTCCTAAACGAAGCCAGGACAACGAGGGTAACATGAAGTTGCATTGGGATCGAATGGAGGTGCTTGCTGGCGCCATTCATAGAAACCTATGTCGACGGTGAGAAAGAGATAAAGCTGGGTGAGTTGGTGTAGGGATGAAGTCAGGCTGCATATGCGAGGTCGTATTTCTGGCAGTGGCGGCTGCCAGGGGGGCACGTTGACATCAGCAGCTGCCATGCTGCAGCGGAAACCTTGTACAAGGTCATGCCCGCTGGAGTGTCAGGTTGATTGGCCCAGAAGTCTCCTGGCTCCGCCCAAACTGGCTACTGCAGCCACTAAGAGCGCGTCCTGAGTGCTGTGTCGAGGAATACCGTGGCTGGGCGTGCTAGGCTGCGCGTTCTTTCCCCTTCGAATGGTTCCCTCCTCCTTAGAGGAGGGGAAAAAAAAAGGGTATGTGGTAGGGGGAGGAGTGTGGCTTGGTCGTGCTGTGTAAAAGAAGAGAGGCCTGCCTGGCTATGCTATAATCCCATCATCCATGTCAGACTGGGAAGTCTGCCGTCCCTACTTTACTTGATGACAACTACTGGCCCTCATCTCGAGTTCAGCTGCTCCGCTTTGTTTCTTTTTCCCTCTTGCCTTCCTCCTCCTTCTTCACACACACGCACCTCGCAACCAGCAAAGCACCCAACACCTCACCGCTCGTTGGCCATTGCCTATCTTTTGCGACCAGATTGACAAGTCTGATAAAGTCCTTGGCCTACACGAGTTCTACGTAACGGATTGCTTTTTGGGGTTTCCTTCCTTTTTTCCTTCTTCTTTTCTTTCTGTCGCTACGCTAGCCCCCGTCTAGATTTCTAGACCGCTGCAGCTGAACTTTGTTTCACGACTTGACTATTGACAACCACCTCATCCGACCCAAATTCTAAACACTCGAGAGGGGGACGCCAACAAAAAGAGAGAGAAAGAGTGTGAGAAGAAGACAAGATGGTCGAGTTCAACAAGGACAAGATCCCTACCTACAAGCTGATCGTGCACATCGCACAGATCGTGCTGTCAGTGACAATTTGGTGTCTGGAGATTGTTGTGTTCAAGGGGGGTGATGTCAACGGGCAGATGGGATGGACCTTTGGAGTGGTCAGTTCTTTTTTTCTTGATTCAAGCACTACTCTGACCATGATCTGCCTGCCCTCTTTTGTGACAGTCCTCACTGACACTGAATGCCTCCTACAGTGCTTCCTCTCTGTCCCAGCATGGATCTACCTAATAATGGCACCGCGCTATCCACGCGCATCCAACATCGCCCAGCCCAACGCCCTGCTGACCGTCGACGCCCTAATGACCATAATATGGCTGTCCGCTTTTGCGACACAGGCTGCCTATAACACTGCCGATGACTGTGGCTCCGCTTGCGGCGTGAGCAAGGCGATCGTGGGATTGGGAGTCTTTGAGACGTAAGTGCCTTTTTTTTGGGGGGTGACCCTCTTGAGACCAGAGCCCCCCTCTCTCACCTTCCTCTCCCCCACCTGCACAATACCAAGTCCAAAGCTAATGAAACTCTCTTTTTGTCCTCCGACAGATTGTTCTGGGGGCTCTCCACCTTCATTTCCTTTGCAACCCTGCAGTACTATAACACCAATGGCGTGCTGCCAGGCTACGACAGCCTCCACCGCGGCCGTACGCACACCATGAACGACATCGACCCGGACAAGGCCGCCTTCAGCACCGCCCCGGTCGACGAGGAGGCATATGCACCCCTCGGCGGTGGCCTGCACGACCACGACGACTCCATGGAGCCAGAATTCAACGCTGGCCCGTACGGCGGCGGTTCCTCCATGCACAATGATCCGGATTCGTTTGGCACCTCCCACCACCAGGACACCTCGTACGGTGGTGCGGGCATGGGCGCGAGATATGACGAGCCTGTTGGCGCCTACGAGAGTCACGGTGCCAACACTGCATACGAGAGCCACGGGAGCGTGGGACCTGGCGGCGCTGCGCTGTACTCGCCTCCGCAGGTGCATGACGAGGATTACGATTCGCCAGCTCAATTCCCGGCTGGCAACTACGACAACATCGGTTTCAGACAGGTGTAAAAGAGCGAGAGAGAGTCTGTGTGAGAGAGAGAGGGATGTAATGAATTACGGGACGAATGTTTCGCATCTAGACGACGAGGGGAGGCCAACTTGGGTTTTGCGAGTTGCATCGCATCGCATCGCATACCAGACGTTATCATCAGCATCATCATCACACGAGAAAGGGGAGACGACGGGATAAGATATGAAATGTTCCAGGGGGGTGTGTGCGGGTGAGGACACTATTCATGAACGGCGCTGGGAAAATACGGGATTGCGTCTTTTGTTTAGAGCACTAGGAAGGTAAAACCTCCCTGGAACACGGCTTGGGTGTTCGGGGCGTTTTGATTACCTTGTGTGTGTGTACCTTGCCTTGTCAGTTTGGGTTATGTCATGTCGATACACCTTTGGAGATACCAATCAATCAATCATGCAAGAATTCGCAGCACACCGTATCAGGCCTCAAGGTTTTTCAAACCTTGACGTGAAGTCCATATGGATAAAACGATCATGTATGATGTGGAACAACGAGCCATTTAACTCAGATGGCATTATTATCTCCCGATTTTCTCTAAATCTTCTCTTTCGACATGTTGTAATGCTTTTCTCTTCAAACGCCTAACGCCACGAGCAATGCATGTAATTGCCGTCCTTTAGACAGACAGAGTATCCTCCCATGTTTCCCTCCCGCCAGTATGGGCCGTCCTAAAGGTGTGCTGTGCTGTCATTGCGACAAACCACTTGAAGTTATCCTCATGCATACATAGCCTGACGTGATTGCCTTTTGCGAGGTCTCTAGCCTAGTCCACCATTCCGTACGCAGCGACGTTGCCCCCCTTTCCCCCCACCATATAGACAGATGCTGCAGGAGGCGCTCGCAGAACATCCAACTTTGGACCCTCCTCTCATTATGGCGTGTGAGTCCGTTCGCGATAGGTTGCGTCGAGAGAAAGAAAATTTGCGCAGTGAGACAAGCACGGGTCGAGCCATGTGACGAGACCTCGGCACCCGCTGACCTCCTTCTTAGAGGGCACTCCCACTTGAGCGATGCCAGGAGTTATTCACGGCCCCCTCTCGGCACCTGTGCGAATTCGATTTTATCCCCTGCTCTCACTACTGTCCCTTGTACGTCTTGATCTTTCTCTTGATCTCAGCAGCGGTCTGCTGCATGGGATTCAACTTGGCATCCCGGGCCATCGCAGCCGTGTCGTCGCCGTGCTTGGCGAGCAGCCTCTCGATCCACTCCCTCTCGCGCGCAGACTGGTGGCGGATGTGTTTCTCGGTCGGCATGTTGGCCTGCTGCTCGAGGAGATCGACGACCTTGGTCTCTCCGCTGCTGCGGGCGGTGGTGTTCTCCTTCTGTTGTTTCGAGGCAGCCACATCTGCTTGTTCTTCGTCCTCCGAGTCCGACTCCAGGTCGTTGAGGGGATCGTTCAGCGGGTTGTCCTTGCGCAGCACCCGCACGATGTTACCGTCTGCATCTCGCTCGACCTTGACGGACTGGATCGCCGTGCGCATCCCGTCCGCGGGCGTCACGGCGAGGGGGTCTTGTGCCCGGGCGGTGGACGTGGTGGAGGACGGATGCTGTTCGATGCCTCCGGTGGCTTTCCCTAGCCTTGCGGTGAGGCCGAGGCGGCGATAGTTTTGGGAGAGAGTTTCATTCTTGTTCCTGTGCGAGTAAAAAGGGGGGGGGGGAGGGAACAGAGTTAGACGCCAGAAAATTGGTACAGTAGATAAGACAGAGGAGGGGGTGTGGGGGGGGGGGCCAGGGAGGACGAACCAATTCTTAGCGATCAGGCTGTTGCCCCTTGGGTTGAGGGGCTTCTTGGGTTGATTGGACTGTCTTATGGTCGGCCTTGAAGACCGACGCTTGCGTTTTTGAAGGTCCCGACCCATTTTCGCTGTGATTTTACAGGAAACAGTCGTAGAGATGAGTTTTGAGAATGTCAGGTTGCGACTGAGAGAAGTCAAGTCAAGTCCAGTCAAAGACGGCTTAGGAAATTTGAAAGATAAGACATTCTTATCGCTGGTATGTACTTAGTCAGCAGCCTCGACTCCTTTCCTTTCACATGTGCTCACTTTCATGTACCCGAAGAAGGGCACCGTTTTCCAGAGTTCAACCCAAATAACCTGGTTGCAACAGTTTTTTCGGTCAGTTTATTCTGCGAGATTATCAATATGCTTGGTGCTTGATGGTGAAACATGTCAATTGGACCAAGAGCGATTCGTCCATCCGTTTCTCAAACGCCCATTTCTCTCCTCTTCATGGACACCCCACGGGAGCACAACCATGCGTCAAAAGGCATACAGCTCCCAGCTAACCCACGCAGACGGACAATTCTCGATAAGAGAATTATGGCCAAAGGCATGCGGGAACTGACCCACACGCCATGTAAGGTTCAGGACCGACGTCAGATGTTAGCAACGTTTGAACTATTCGCATGCCTGGCTTGCCCAACACCCTTGGAAGCTACGAGCCAGGAGAACGGGGCACAACCTTCTCTACATCTCCAACCCGATCATTACATCCTCCAACTCTTGATCCTATGATATAAGCGGCGCTGTGCTGACTCGGAACGGTGGCCATCGTCGGTAACCACACGCCCTGCTCTCCCTTAGGGAACCGGTTTCCTGACGTCGGCGAGCCGCTCATGCCGAGCTTCGTCAAGGGCATGCGCGAAAAGAATCCTTATTCGCAGCGTTGTCGACCAGGCCACAAAGCTGGTCCTGTGCTATCATTCCCGGCCCGTCTCGGGATCTACACCATGAGAGAGTCAAGGGCGTGGTAGTCTTCTTTGGGTAGCGACAAAGCTCAGGACTGACAAGGCTTTCAGGCCCTGATTAGCGCATAGCTGGGCTACTAAGAGGAGGTGACGCTCATCAGTCACCTTGCAAACTTTGTCTCACAGCGTATCGCGCAAAAAGCACAGGTCCCATTATAATCGACCGGGTTTTGTGGTTCCTTCGGGGCAGCGCAGTGGTTGGGAGTGGACAGGATGCACATCTGTGTGTATCTCTCCCGCGGGAGCGTGCCGGCGACGATGCGTAGCAATTTAGCCGAACCGACTTCTGTGCGTGACGACAACGCGCTACCATACTGGACTCTGCACGGCGCAGCACGCTGCCAGCAGGACGCGTTCTGCTTTGGGAATCAGTCACACGATCCATCGGCGCTGCCCTCATGAGATGAGCTCTTGCGTGCGGGTTCCGAAGCTTGGGAGATAAGGGCCGTGGACCGAGAATGTGCACCCTGTCGCAAACACAGGTGCGTAACGTACGGCCATGGGGTCCCTCACCCAGAAAGTGGCGAAATCTGCTTGAAGAAGAGAGAACACGGAAGCTGGGTAAGGGAGGCATGTGAGGCCATGGGCGGATACGACAGAGTCATGCTGGCTCACATCTTGGCATCTCCCATGCCATCAGATGTCGTCTGGCTCGTTTCTTTCTGTTTCTTTTCATGATCACCGCTAAAATGCCTTCGCTGTTGACGCGCCCAGACGTCATTTTTCCGCTCACAATTCGCCGATCATGGGTCAGGGTCAGGACAAATTGCCTTCTTCTCTCTTCACATATTGTGGCTTGAAATGAAGAATATTCCGAGCAGCTGGTAACGAGCCACAGCGCCAGGAAGGATTCAACTGCTATTTCCCGGGTTTTGGGTCGATCGGGTCGCTTAGTCTTGTCAAGATTAACAGGGGGGGGGGGGGGAAGCAAGTACCGACATAGCTAATATGCTAACTATGTACCATAGTAGTAATTCTATCTCAGGGGGCCAACAAGGGTCATACGATGTTTCGTTTCATCTACTCGAGAACAACCATTTACTTTTGATTTTGACTTTTCCTTCTCTCGCGCATTGTCTTCATACTCCCTTTCCCCGCCACTCTAAAAGTGATGCCTGAACGCGCAAGCATCTTGCATTGGGAGGCTTACCGGGCTAGTCGGCCACGATTGATCATTCCCTCCAGCCCGATTCATCTCTCGGATGCTCATCCTCCACTCCTCTAGCCGCCTCAAGTGTCCACCATGTGCTCAACCTGACACCCCCCCTACACCTCTGTCCTTTGTGATGGCGGGAATAACGGCAAGGCCCTCTGGCGGGGATGACCATGTCAAGGCATAGAACCTCGCCAGTGAGCCAGGAAAGGATCCTCCTTTTTCTCCTTTTCGCCTTTCTTTTCTTTTCCCCTGGTCGTGGAGATTCTCTCTCAGTGGCTGATGGCTTCTTTTGCTTCCATGGGTTGTCCCCCCTGTCTCCATCGTCAAAAACCTTGGACAAATTGGAATTTGTTCATCCCCCTTACATCCGTGCTGTGGCACAGTTATGGTGGGATGGGAGGGGGCAAGGTGTGGGCAATCGACCGACAAATCCGTAGGCGGTCAGATGAGAGCAGGACGTTGTCGTTGAGTGGGTGGAATGGGAGGCGACTGCTGCAGGGAGTATAAGGAGTCTTGTGGAGCTTCTTGATATATAAAAGAGGGCCTCTCTCCTAAGATGCAGTGAAGATCTTGTTCTCTAGGTTCCAGCTGCAAGCAGTCATCCTCCTTCAAGACTATACACTCCGTCCTCTGCGTCCCTTGTGTATTGCCTACTACCAACTCCCTCGACCAAATATGAAGACTTCGGCCATCATCACTCTGGGCGGCGCTGCGGCTGCGGCTGCCCTCAGCGGCTCAGCTACTACCACTGTGAGCTCCAGCTTTTTCCAATACACGCTCTCCACCCCCCCCCCCCCCAAACGGGACCATTAGAGCATCTCCCAGATGAAGACCTCTCGCAAGCATTCCTCGACACACTGCCTACCCTAGACTATGCTCCCTCAAGAGATCTGACATGTTTTCCTACCTTTTGCTCCTCTGCTTCTTCCGACACCGCCCCACCCTACACACCCACCTCTACCTACTTCTCACCTAATCCAAGCAAGAAAACATCCTGCTAACCAAATGCTCCTCCCCTCTTCTCTCCAGCGCTACTACGACGGCCAAGAAGGAGCCTGCGGCTGCGGCACCACCAGCGGCCTCTTCAGCTGGCAGGCCGGCATTTCCAGCGGCGTATACACGGCGGCGGGCTCGCAGGCCCTCTTCGACACATCGGACGCGACATGGTGCGGTGCCGGCTGCGGCGTCTGCTACGAGCTGACGTCGACGGGCGAGGCGCCCAGCGGGCAGGGCACGGGCGGCGCCACGGGCGAGAGCATCGTGGTCATGGTGACGAACCTGTGCCCCAACTCGGGCAATGCCGAGTGGTGCCCTGTCGTGGGCGGGACCAACGAGTTTGGGTACGAGTACCACTTTGATATCATGGCCAGCTCGTCGGCGCTGGGCGAGATTCTGGGGGATAACCCTATTGTTACTTTTGAGTCGGTGACGTGCCCTAGTGCGGCGACGGCGGACTGGGAGCAGTGTGTCTGCTATGCTGATGCTTGAGCCAAGGCGCTCGGAGCACTGAACAGGGGGGGCCGGCTTGTTGCGTTCTTTGTATATATTTTATTGAAGAGGACTTGTATATAAAAGCAAGACAAGACTCACATAGTCAATTATATACATGTATCATACGGCTGTCGATAATATGGTGTCGAGGTGTTTGGGCTGGAGCACAAATTCAGCTACACGTGATAATATATCAGTGCTTGGTTTAACATAAACTTACAATTAAGGCAGAGGAGAGGATACTGGAAAGAGACATGCTCCATTGCAAGCACTGAAGGAATGTTTGACGCGATGAATTATTTTTTCTCTTTTGGAGACAATTTTGAACTTGATTCACCCTCCTCTTCCCCTTCTCTTAGGCCTAATTAGACCAACTTCCACTGGCCATCCTTAGACTCGATCTTCACCTCGCGATTCTCATCGATACTTCTCCTGCCTGCCTCCAAGATGGCCGTCGTGGCGATGGTATTCCTCAGTGTAGGAAGACCCTTGCCATCCAGGTCCTTGGTCGTTAACGACTTGGAGTTCACCGCACGGCAGCCATCCACGAACTTCTCCAGCGAAATATAACTAGAAAAAGAGAGTCAGCATAGATACATGGTTAAAGAACGACGGCGACAATGACGAGGAGAACGGGAAAGAGCAGTAAATTTGGGCCCTGCCTCCCCCTCCACAAAAAAGGAGGAAAAAAAAACGGAAAAACAAATACATACCCGTATCCCGTCTGGCCGTTAAAGTTCCCATCCTCGTCTGGCGCATAGCGCATGTAGAAGGGGTTGTACCACATGAGCTGGCCGGCAGCGTCGTCGGCGACGTCGTAGCCGCGCTTGGCCTGGTCGATGCGAATTTCGCCATTGGCGGCGAGGTAGTGAAAGTACTGGTTGGAGTGGACGCCAGCCTTTTGCGGGGCGGTCCAGGAGGCGGTGTAGACACCGGTGGCATGCTTGCCCGGCTCGTCAGGCTTCTCCCAGTGCACGAGGAGGGAGATGGTGTCCTCAGTTTTCTCGTTGCAGCCGAGGCTCGTGGCGACACCCTTGGAGGCGGAGGCGGAGACCTTGACAGGGACGTAGCCGAGCTGGGTGACCATGGACTCGCACACGTCGATGTGGTGGGAGTTGAGGTAGTAGCTGATATCAGAGTCGACGCCAGCCCAGGACTTGAAGGTCTCGAGCTGGGACTTGGGCTGACTCATGTAGCTGTAGAAGTAATTGAAATCGCCGAGCTTCTGGGCGCGGAAGCGGGCGTCCGAGTAGGCCGGGTCATAGCGCTTGTGGTGCTCGATGTAGACGTAGACGCCGTGCTTCTCAGCGGCCTCGATGAGGCGGACGTGGTCGGCGAGGAGCTTCACGGCAGGCTTGGTGATGAGCACGTGGATGCCGCGCTCGATGGCGTACAGGGCAATGGGATAGTGCGTGGGGTCCGGCGTGAAGATGGTGATGGCGTCGCCCTTCTGGAGGGCGTCGATGGCCTTCTTGTAGGACTCAGGGTCGACAGTCTCGTTGTCTGGGTACGAGTCGAACGAGGTGTCCAGGTTGTTGTAGACCTGGGTGATATTCTTGTGAAGATGCTCACCTGGGGAAGGATATTGCGCGTGTCAGCACGTCGTCCTCTTTCTCTCTCTCTCTCTCTCTTTCTCATGCTGCCTCGGGGTGGGTTCCGTGCAGGAGGACTCACGAATAGCTGGGTACTTCTTTCCGTTGACACCGACCATGCCCAGATTTCCGACCTTGCCTCGCCTGCGCAAGTCGAAAAGGGACAGTCCGACGACTCCGACCTTCTTATCTGACCCGGAGGCACCACCGCCAACAAAGCCTGTGGTGTACTCACCAGTACCGACCTGTGTTGAATCCAGAATGAGTTAGAGAAAGTGTGTTCTATTCTATGCGGATACTCATACATTTTGGGAACACTCACCATCAACACATTGAGAGGCTCCATGGTCTTCTTTTCTTTACGGCAATATGTACCGTCGTGCTATTGTGATTGAATTAATTGAGGTGTGGGAGGGGAGATAGAAGAGAAACAAATTGGAGGTAAGTGAGTTTGGTGGCATGCGACGACGACAACGACAGGTGTTGCAGAAGCTCAGCAGCTCACAGCTCACTCTAAGTAGGTTCACATCGGAGAAATTGATGGAGGGGGGCAATAGAGGGGCATTTGGATTGGAGCTATTCGCCAGGGCCAAATAGCTGCTGAGTGGAGCAGGGGGGTTCCCAAGCTGGTTCGTTCATTTCTTCTTCTACGTCCGTGAACCAAGTATTATGTACAGTATGTACTATTTAGACTCGACTTTTCTCGTCATCATAACAAAGCATCTCAACACGAGAAATGGACGGTGATCACGATGATAATGTTAAAGCTCAACAGTAACTCGCATCAGATCACCATCTGGTTACTATTCATACACATCAGCCAAGCAGCCTCGTGATTCCCTCACAGGGAAAAGAGAGAGTGTGTGAGCATAGGACATTGTCCAGCATTGTCGCTCCTGGAAGAAATGCTGCCGAAGACCGGACCCTGGTTCTGGTTCCCCTGGTCTGATCAGATCCACAAAAAGGTATGGTGACATGACACCAGCATGTGCTCACTCTTGTCTTCTTCTTTCCCAAGGTGTCATAATATTACCTTGCCAAAGTCACAGACACAGTGACTGTCTGGAGACTCTGCCCATCTCAGAGGTCACAGTATTCCTGCTCTTTTAGACAATATCGAGAAGAAGCAGAAGAAGGAGAAAAAGAACGAGGGAAGTAATACCAAACAAGGCTAATGTAAGCAAAGGTCGATGTCACGATGTTGAGGGCAAGTGCAAGAAAAGGGTGGGCGTTCCCCGCCCTAAATTGATGCCCCGCCCCCACGTCTCATTGCCCCGCGAGAGAAGAACAGAAGGAGACATGGACATGGGTTGTACCTGCCAGGCTAATGTTCAAACTGGGGTATCATTCTTTCCTACCCTGGCCCGCTCTCCGTTCCCCCCTCTTCTTTTCAACTTGAACGTATTTCCACTGCATCCACCAGCAGACAAACATTTCCTGTCGACAGCTTTCACATGACAATGATTACCATTTGAATTGGCCACAACCATCAGACCAGACTCACACCACACCAGAGTATTGGGGGGAAAAAAACCCGGCTAAAATTAAGGGAACAGGGAAGGAGAGAAAGAAGACCAAGAAAGAAGAAAGAAAAAAGGTCTGCCCTGGCTCGGCCGAAAAACTCACCTCCGGCAACATGACATTTTAGTCCTTTTGATGGGTTTTTATTGGCGGAAGAATCATCCCCGCCAATCTTCCGTCCACTCAAGGTCTCCTTCCTGATGACCCTCTCGACTTTTTTCTCGCCAACTGCGTGTGTGTGGTGTGTGTCTGTCTGTGTCCACTCACTCATCCAAAGGAGCTCACGGCAGTCGAGACGGTCATATCAAGATGCCATCGCGAGACTACCCGAAGTCACACGGCGGAGAAATGACGCCCGCCTTAAATTGCCTCCGCTATCATGGATTTTTCTCTGAATTATTTTGTCTTTTCTTGCCTGGACTGGTCTGGCCAAAGAAATTATTCTTTCAACATGATAGGTTCATCGTCTCATGATGAGTAGCAGACGATGGTTACATTCGTACACAATATTCGAACCACCGCCTGCCTATCCTGTCCTCCAGACCTTGTTCGAGGTCCCGCCTTTTTGCCGTTTGTCTTATGCTCAAAAAGATGGAGATGGATCCCCACCTCGGCGCGGGGCCGCCTGGAGACAGCCTCAAGACATGGCAGCAAGGACATTAGCAGACCAAGAAGGCCTCACTCTTTTCAACCTGAGGGGAGAGGGAAAAGACGTCTGACATGTCAGTCTCACGGTTTATTTATAGTCCAATCAGGTCCACACATACACATACACAGCTTCTACAAGACAGGTGCCACGACAGATCTTGACATCGAATCGAGGAGGGGGCTGGACGCTGGGGCGGTGCTGAGAAGCTGACGGGCGGCTTTTTCTCACCGGGGAACGGCTACTGGACGTCGCATGACCCTCTCCCCGATCGGCCTGGTACCTCAAATGGCATGTTGCTAGCGGTACGACCATACATGGCAAACATCTCGTTTTCCATCTGTCGTGCAACCCGAGCCTATTTCTCCTGCAGCAAACCGGGGCACCGACTAGCCCTTGTCTCTCTGTGTCTCTCTCAGTTCTCCTGGACATCTTTCATCAGACCCCGGTTACTGGCTCCGGCCTCTCTCTCTTTCTCGTCCACGCATCACAAGCAGCCAGACCCTGGTCTGAATGGAGTAATTGTCGCCGATATGCCCTCATCTTCCTCGCCTTCCGAGGATCAGGAGATCTGAAGGCTGCAACGGGTCATCGACTTCACCCCTTGTACTTTACACAGCGGTCCCGTTTTGCTCCGGAGCGAGGGCCCTGGATACGACCCCACGCGTCCTTAGGCTGAGGGCCCGTGTTCCTCACATCCTTCGATGGCCTTCTCTCATCCCTGCTACCACCGTCAGTAACGAAATCTTTTTCCTCTCCGTCTCTGTCTCATCCGGACTCTAGTCATAGTAAGCAGTGCTAAGTGGTATGTATTAGTAGTGCTTGTCGAAGATGGCACGTGTGGTAACCTGATGTGGCTCGCTCCCTGCTCTCGGGCCAATGTCCTTACGATCACCCACTCCAAATGGGACCTCAAACCTTCCTGCTGTCCCCGCTACCGGCCCGGCAAATTATTAGCTCATGGAAAAGACGTCTAACGTGCCCGTCGAGAAAGAGACGAAAGCACTCTTGGGCATATATATAACAAGGTTTGTGTCTCTGGCTTTCTCCCTCGTAATCCCTCAGGCCCTTCTCCCCTCCCCCTCCTTCAAAGAGGTCTCCAACCTTTCAAAGAAGAAGACAGCATCGCTTCCTTTTTAATCATCCTCCTCCTCGTCGTTCTTCTCTTCTGTCAGCAGTAACCTCCCGCGCAGAAACAACAGATACGTCCCCATCCCATTCCCTCCATTCTCTCTCCTCCTCCTCCACCCCTGTCCCTATACAAAATCCATCAATATGTCTATTCCTAATGGACACACGACATCAACCCGCCGGGTGCTGCCCTGCGGCATTTACGCCCCGACCATGACCTTCTTCGACCCAGACACGGAGGAGCTTGACATCCCTACCATCAAGAAGCACGCAGCCCGGCTGGCGAGGGACGGCCTGGCAGGTCTCGTGGTGATGGGCTCCAACGGCGAGGCGGCGCACTGCACACGTGAGGAGAAGCTCGCCGTGACGACCGCCACCCGCGAGGCCCTGGACGAGGCCGGCTTCAAGGACACGCCCATCGTGGTGGGCGCCACCGAGGGCTCCGTCAAGGGCACCGTCGAGCTGTGCAAGCTGTCCGCCCAGGCCGGCGGCGACTACGTCCTCCTGCTGCCTCCTTCCTACTTCCGCGGCCTCATGGACGAGGAGGCCGTCTATGGCTACTTCACCGCCGTGGCCGACGAGTCGCCCCTCCCGCTCATCCTGTACAACTACCCCGGCGCCGTCGCCGGCATCGACATGGACTCGGACCTGCTGATCAAGCTCGCCCAGCACCCCAACATCGTCGGCACCAAGTTCACCTGCGGCAACACGGGCAAGCTGACCCGCGTCGCCCTGGCCACCGACGCCAAGACCCCCTGGTCCGAGGGCAGCGGCTACATGGCCTTTGGCGGCATCTGCGACTTCACCACCCAGACCCTCATCAGCGGCGGCAGCGGCATCATCGCCGGCGGCGCCAACGTCATGCCCAAGCTCTGCGTGCGCGTGTGGACCCTCTACGCCCAGGGCAAGCGGGACGAGGCCGAGGCCCTGCAAAAGGTCCTCAGCAAGTGCGACTGGGTCCTCACCAAGGCCGCCGTCCCCGGCACCAAGCAGGCCATCCAGAGCTACTTTGGCTACGGCGGCTGGGGCCGCAGGCCGCTGAGGAGGCTGGAGGACGTGAGGGTCCAGGCCATCGCGGACGGCATCAAGGAGGCCATGGATATCGAGAAGTCGCTGTGAAGAGTGAAAGAGTGAGATACGAGTGGGTCCCCCCGGGCCTGCTGCTCTTGCCGGCACATCTCCCTCTTGTTGCCCCCCCTCTCCCGCTTGGAAGCGAACCACAGACGTACCACGGCGAGGGAGGTCGGATCGTATAGGAGGCTCTTTCTCTCTCTTTCTCTCTCACACTCTTTTCCTCCGCCTTCCCTTCTCTTCCACCCATCCATACCCACCTATCCACACACGCTCTCTCTCTCTCTCTCTCTCTCTCCACATATTTCCACGTAACGCATTGGGGCCCTGACGGTCCCTTCGGCGCCTGCACACAAGTCTTCTTGGATTGTTTTGGTTGTTCGTTGTCCCTTTCAAACTCTCTCCTATGAGTCAAGAGAAAGCCGCAAGATAGACTAAGGGTGGTTTTAATCAATGTACATAGACAAGTCGAGACGAAGAGGCTTTGCCTGTCTGATGAAATAAGGACTATATCGCGTTATAAGGACGTATTGTCGTCACCAATTATCTATTTTGATTGCATGTGCTGCTGCTGCTTGCTGTTGCGGTTTCTGAGACGCCGTGCACTGTGTAGAGATCATCATAAGGATGCCCCGCCCGTGTCTATCTTTTTGAGACTGGAAAGAAGAAGTTAGAAAAAGAACTGAAGAGAGAAAAAATTACCCTACAGCAAAGTGTTGGAGCGACCGGTGTCAGTTCGAGCCGCATCGCAAACCAGGTAGATAGATCCTCATTGTTCGATGTTGGCTAGACCAATCATGGCCTGCCAGGTCTTCTCCCTCCTCGTTCCCTGTCGACGATTCTAAGTCTCGATAGCTTTTGTCTTCCTCCCCCCCACCCGTCCATAGCTCACATCGCCTTCTCCCTCACACCTTAAACTTGGCAGGATGCAAAACATCAATATCCGCTGCCCTCGCCGCCCCGTCGAGAACCCACTCTGCCATGAGGTACCCCGTCGCAGGCCCATTCTGGATGCCCCAACAGGTATGACCCGAGGCCACCCATACGCCAGGCGTCGAGGTTGGTCCAACGAGCGGGCCGCGCTCGGTGCCGAAGCGCACGTGCTGCGGGAGGTAGCAGGCCTGGCGGGCGCGGATGGGCGCGGCGGCAAGGGTGGGGGAGATGGTGGCCAGATAGGCGGCCAGGTCGTCGCACTGGGCTTGGTCGGTCTGGACTTGGTCTGCGGTCGACGGGAGGGGGATGGTCTTGTCGGGCTCGCCTGGAACGGGAGCATGAAGATATTCCGTCAGCCAACCTGAGAGAGAATGATGGACAGAGAGTAAAGAGAAGACAGCGATGGCAACTGACCACAGGCGTAGACCTCCCCAAATGGCCTTGCATATACCTCCGGGTCCACATTCCCCTTGTGCTTTCGTTTCTGACCCGCCCTTGCCCTGTGCTCGGGCACATAGTCGGCCGGCAGCTGGATGTCCGTGAAGACGGCGTATGGCGTCACATCCGCCTCGAACACGATGCTGTGAGCGCGCAGGCCCTCCACCTTGCTCCGCGGCAGCAACCCGCCCGTCCACGGTCCCGCGGCGACAATCACATCCGTCACACCGTCAACGGTCCTGATCGCCTCACCGTGGGCGCGGTCCTCATACTCGACGCTCAGAAGGCCTGGGGAGGGGGAGGAGGAAGCTGGCTCGGCAGGTTTGACACCGGTGAATTTGGCACCCAGTCGGATGTCGACCCCTGCGGCGCGGGCGAGGTCGGCGATGGCGGTTGTGAAATGGAAGGGGTGCACCTGAGCTGTCTCGGTGAATCCACGGCGGCCCATCTCTTCATAATACTGGACGAGCTTGGGGTCGATCCAGTCGAGGTCGGGCGGCAGGGCCGAGTCGGACAGGAGCGAGGTTGCGGCCGCGTCTTGTTTGGGCAGCTTCTCCCACTCTTTTCCCTCCCTGGCTGCTGCTGGCCGTTCCTCGCCTGGCCCAGCCTGGGTGCCACTCTCAATCTTGACCTCGCTCTGGTCAGGTCTGCTGGCTATACTCGATGCTGCTGTTGCTGATACCAGTGACGGCTCTGATGCTGCGCCTTTGGTGTCTCCATTGGTCTCCCGAGAAGCCCCTTCAGGCTCTGATGCAGGCGGTGCTGCTGTCTCAACCTGTGTTAGAGTTGGTGTGTCTGTGGATGCGCCTTGGGCCGCTTTTCTTGCCTCCTCTAGATCAGCCGGCCTCACAACGGCGCCTATGGTCCCGCACTTGACACGGCGGTAGCCCCATTTCTCAGCCCCGCCGTGTTCTTCGGCCAGTTCCCTGTGAAGACGGTATGACAGCGGGACCAGACACTCTGGGTAGGCCCATAGGGCCAGCAGACCACCTGCTCTGCCTGAGGCGCCTGCTGCTATCGAGGTGGCTTCAAGGAGGGTGATTGTATGTTTCGAGGGGTCGAAGTTGGGGTGGCGGGTCAAGTAATAAGCTGTTGTTGAGCCAATAACTCCACCACCTGATTTTCAAGTATTCAGGTTAGTCGCAGTGCAGTCCATGGAGAACAATGACCAGCAGATATGTGATCTTTCTGTTTTGAAAACTGGGAAGACTGAAATATTTTTGTGAGAGAGAGAGAGAGAGAGAGAGAGAGAGAAAAGAATCGAATGAGAGGTCTTAAGGTCAGGCACATACCGACGATGAGTATATGCTTTGTCTGGGGTACATCCATGTTTCAACCTCAGCAGGGGAAAACAGACGAACAAGCCTAAGGAAGGCGCAGTGTTGGCTTGTTAATTGAGAAGAGGAAGGATGGGGTTGTTGCTTAGGCTAATGAGGGGTACAAGTAAACAATACTCATTTCAACTCTGCCAATAGAGCTATGACAAAAGATATTGCCATATTTTAAAGGCCAGTAATGACACTTAGGCTTCAGTAACAGCACAAAATAATAACATTATTGTGCCCTCAATGCATAATTTGTCACAAGGAAGTGAATTGTGACGTCGGCATGGAATGGCACTTGGTTGTCTTGAATGCTACTGTGGGTAGTAAACATGAGGGGATGGTGTCTTATCAGCTTATCAACAAAGCTACCCCGCCATCTCATGCCAACCAGCAACGATCCGCTGGGAAGGAGCCCCTCACCTCTCTCTGTGTCCCTCTGTATGTACCATAGTAGGCCCCCCTGCTGCTCACCAGCCCCAGCTGTGGTGCCCTGCGGGGCTGTCTCTTCTCTCATCTCAATTGCAACGACTTTCTCTTGAAACAGCTTTGCAACACCATACACATCAAAGCCAGCAGGAGAACCGACATCCCGATGGGAAGTGGAATGACAATTTGTCATATGATTGGCATACACTCAGAGCACTCACTGGCACAGCCTCAGGATCAATTTGGGATGGCCGGTAAGACTACATGGTAGGATCTTTTCAAGGGAATGAGGGAATTCAGGAACCCGCCCACCCGCCTCAGCTAGGCTGTTTGCAGATCAAGAGGGGCCCATAATTTGGGGGTCTCCTTCTGGGCCACCGAGGCTTGATAGCAAAAGCTGATCTGATCGCTGGGCATAGTGGGGACGACCTTGGGATCTGAGTGAGAATGCATAGCAATCCTCGTGTCAGACTGTTGGCATAGGGACAAGACGGCTGTGATGCCCCAAAGTGGACTGAAACACGGAAAACACGGAAAACACAACTCTTGTCAGGCTCAGTCAGGCTTTGCTAGCCGGTCTAGTGCCTGGATTTGACTCCATCAACACCCCCCCAAGTCGCATTCCTCAGTCCCAACCGGTGCGCGGCTGTGTGCCTGACAAATCCTCAATGCGACCATTGGCTACTAACCTCGGCCTGCGCTGTGCTGGAACCTTCGGCGTTTGTCGTACAAATATTAGGCTTTGCGCCGTTACTCTCGCCACCACCGCGCGGGCACCACAATCTCCCGACTTCTGCCAGCACAACAACCTCGCTGCCCAGCATCCTTATTGTTATCACCGTCATCATCATCATCATCATTATCACCAACATCTTCGTCACCATCGACAACAACAACAAGACTGTCACAAGTCTACAACTGCCTCGGTACCATCCATAACAGGTCCCAGATATCGTAGCCTTGCAACAATGGCCTCAGCAACCAGCTTTTACGACTTCAAGGTCCCTGACAGTAAGCACCATCCTCCAGACCTGAACCACAGCTTGCCTCGCCCTCGCCTCTACATTGCTACGGCGTCGAGCTGGAACACCGCTGTCCTTCCTCATTCGCACCTCGCTTTGCCCCGTCCCTCTCTTCCACCTGCCTTTCTCGTCCCTGCGCGCAGACGAGTGAACCACCAGATCTTCAGCAGCAACCCATGTTTCTTCTGCCCCTCCCCGTCCAGATTTCATCACCAGACGCCCCAGACAAGTGGTGGCGAATTGGGTACCAGCTGTGTACATGTGTGGCTAACAGATACAACCTCACTCCACAGAGAAGGGCGAGGAGAAGCCCCTGTCCGAGTACAAGGGCAAGGTCGTGCTCGTCGTCAACACCGCCTCCAAGTGCGGCTTCACGCCCCAGTACGCGGGGCTCGAGAAGCTCTGGAAGGACATCAAGGAGAAGCACCCAGACGACTTTGTCATTCTGGGCTTCCCCTGCAACCAGTTCGGCGGCCAGGAGCCCGGCACCAACGACGATATCCAGTCCTTCTGCCAGGTCAACTACGGCGTCTCCTTCCCCATCATGGGCAAGATCGACGTCAACGGCGACGGCGCCAGCGATCTGTACAAGTGGCTCAAGAAGGAGAAGCCTGGCATCATGGGCATCCAGATGGTCAAGTGGAACTTTGAGAAATTCCTCATTGGCCGCGACGGCACCGTCAAGGGCCGCTGGGCCAGCACCACCAAGCCAGAATCGCTCGAGAAGCCCATCCTGGACGAGATCGCCATCAAGCCAGAGTAGATCCCCGCTTCTGCCGTCATGTTAGCCGCTGCCAGTGGCCACTGAGAGGAGAGAAGAGCAGGAAAAGGGAGAAAGAGGCAGAACCTGAGGGCGTGAGAAGAGAAGTGAGGGACTGGGTGGGGGATCGTCTTGTCTTTTTTTTTCTTCTCGAATGATCAACCGCCGTGTTGCCTTCCTGGCTCCCTTTGGCCACGCAAGGCGACTGGAACGGCACCAGCGGATGATGTCTTCTCCATTCTTGCGCCCGGCTTATCGGCGCCGTCGAGGCACCGACCAGGACTGAGGCTTCGACGAACCTTGGCCCTGGAGGGAGATGAGAGAGAGAACCGAAGAGATCATCCACACGGAGAGGCCGTGTTGCCGCGTGAGCCTGCTTTCGCCCCTCATCACGAAACCCGTCGTACTTTGAAAGAAGTAGCAAGTTCGTGCACAGTGCAGCCGCCCGACCACGGTCTCGCCGATGTCACCTATCTGTCGTCAGCTCGATTTGTGGGTAGAGGGCTCTTATAATTGTATGTATATAGAAGCAAGGAAGAAGACGAATGATACCATGTTTGCGGTATTCTTGTTGTCCCATACATGCCCAGCCGGCGAAGGCGAGTCACGCAACAAAAACTATCGTGCTTCCACATCGTGGTATCCTTCGGTACCCGGAACGGAACAGACAGGAACAAACAGACAGACAGACAAGACAAGACAAGACAGACGCGCAGGAGCTTTTCCAAAGCAGGAGAGAGAGGGGGAAAAAAACAGCCGACAAGAGGAGGGAATGGGGGCCAGGAACACCACGAGGCTCCACAATGGTAGGAAGCCTGGCCACAACCACATGGCTACCCGCTTGGTGAATGGCCATGATTCCCAGAGGTTTTGTCCTTTTCCTGAAAACGTGCGATGTGTGTATCATCATGGATCTCCCTCTCCCTCCCTCCCTCCGTCCATTGACATCATAAGAGGAAAGAAAAAGGAAGCCACACGGAGAGGCCGATCCCCTTCGGAGGGCTGGCATCCTCGCCGGGTAGCCCAGGACGCGTCGTCAGTCAGTATGGGCTGAGTCGGCACTCGCAGCAAAGCCCACCTCCGTGATCATTCCACCCCCCCCCCCCCCTCTTCGAATCTGCAGGTGAATCAGTCAAAAGTTAGGTGGGAACACTGTGATGGTCGTTGTTTCTGTTGCGTTGTGGATCCCACTGGACGACAAGCTCTAGATACACACGCACACACACACTACGGCGCCAGAACCTGGTCCCCATGGGCCCACGGGTGGTTGTTTTGCCCGACTAGTTGGAAGGCATCCAGATTCGTGGTCACCTGGGGGAGGGAGAAAGGGGGGGGGGGGGGGTGGCCGACTGCATCAGGCTCTGGGGCAGAACAAGGTAGCCAGGACAGCCCAGTCACGGATGTAATTTTTTTTTTCTTGATTTCTTTCTCTTGTTGAAATTTGGTTTTTGCCCTCCAGCCTGCTTGGTCAGGCCAGCACACAAGGGCCACTTCCCCCCCCCCCCCCCGGCCCTCTCGGTCCTTCTTCTGCTCCGGCTTCACACTGGGCATCCCTCATCTCATCGCCCATTTTCTCTTCGTCCTCTTCCTCACAGCCTCGACCACAACACTTTCACTGACGGACCACGTGCGACAGGGAGGAAAGTAAAATCACAATAGGCTCTCCGCACTACAATCTACAACACTCCCCCATCAGCAGCCCAAATACGTGCCCTTTTCCGACGCCCGCACCAAGCGCAACCCTCCCCCCTTTCCTCCTTGCCCACCCTGCCCTGATATTTTGTCCTTCCATGCATGTTCCCTCGTCTTTCCACAATCTCAACCTCCACATTTACACATGACACTAAATGCAGGTGCACCAGACGATCCTACTCACACGATACTTCGGAAGTAGGTACGTCGTAAGGGGTATGGGGAGAAGGGAAAGGTGGGGGGAGAAGGAGGAGGGGGGGGGTGTCCGCGGTAAGAGGGACAGGCTTGGGTGGAGCCAGGAAGGGGGAAGGAGGTGCTGATGTGGATAGTACCTCTGGTTTCCTTCGTCTTCCCTCGGTGTGACGGGGTTTTCACACGGTCAAAGGAGGGGTCGATTATGTAGTGGCATGGTCTCGTGTGTTGTGTTGTGTTGTGTTGTGTCGCGATGTGCTTGCTCCTGCTGAGAGATATCTGACTCTCTGCTGTGTGATGGATGTCTGGATGTAGGTATGTGCCTTACTACACTAGTCGTATATGGGATTTTACACTTACAATTATACACACCCTCCCCCCCCCCCCCACATCTCACTCTCTCATATACATAAAGCGAGATCCAAAGAGTCAGACAAGGCAAGGGTCTAGAAAACAGGGTGGTGTAATTTGGTGATGGTGTAAATGGTGGTCACCGCCGAAGTGGATTTTCGGGGTTCAAAGACACGGTAGACGGGCATACATCGGATCGGGAGAAGACCTTGAGGGGGGGGCGGGGGGCGGCAAAGTATCCCAGTCCCCTCCTCCCCCCCTCGTTGGGTGTGCGAGCGGGTAAAGAAAGAAGAGGTTGGGGGTATTGTAGAGAAAAGGGACCATCGGCTCACTGACTGACTGATGGATGGTCTAGTACTTTGACGTGGGGGTTTCTGTTGCGGCTTGAGGCCGGGAAAAAAAAAGTTTGACGATAGTTTGACGTCGAGGAAAGGGGCGGGGCAGTAAGCGAGGGAGGACATGAATGGGCCCATTTTTGGGTCATGTATGGTCAGCCACTCAGCAGCGTGATATCTCATGTCGCTTTTCAGTAGTCCGTTATGGTTATGACTACCCAGAAAGACCCTACCATGGGAGATGAGGACGAAGCACGATGTCTTAGGAAGGGAAGAGCCGCGGGGGGGGGGGGGGGGGAAGGTTCTGTCCAAGATACTATAGCGACGTTACCGTGCTATTGACGCTTCACCTCTTCGGATATGGAACAGGGTGAAGGAGGAAGGAGGATGAGGAGGAGCAGCAAATCCAGGTGGGATGGAGAGAGATAGTGTTCTGAGGTGAGCTGTCGTGTATACCACAAGATATATCCGAGTCTGACATGGGTTTCCAACGCGCGCGACGTAGGTGAGCGCTAGGACTACCAAGTCATATGTGTGGATCACTTCCCAAGGTGAGCAAGTCCTCGGAGAAGCAACAACCTCGTAGCACAAAAGGCCAGAAATGGTTGGTCCACCAGGCAGAATACAGGGTCCTTTGAGAACGAGTAGCCACGGACCTCAGGGCCAGCCCTGCCCCTCTGCAAGCCTCTGGCACTTTGGTCTCGACGTCGAGAGCAGTGATCAGCTCGATCACACCACACGCATACGTAGTGAGAGGTGTTGATCAGACAGGTGCCTTGAAAGTCTGTTGCCCCCCTCCCCCCTGCTCTCTCTCTTTCTCTCTCTTCATACATGCATGATATCTTGATGCCTGAGACTGCTGGCTCTGCTGAAAGGTGAGAGGATTTCCCCTCCCCTCCCCCCTTCCTGGAACGTTACTGCATATCTCTTCTGCAAGTCACCCACACCAAGTCAAAGGCTGCAAGCTGCAGCCAGATCTCTGCTAGTTCAGGTGATGGATGCTCGAGCCAACAGACTGTCACATCGCATTTGCTGCGCCGCCTGGTCAGGACTGGCTGGCCAAGTGGCAGCACAGGAGATGATCACAGCCAGATGTGGTGGAGGCAGACGCGTCTGCCTCTTCTCAAAAGGCCTACACACCTGCACCTATACACACATACTCACACACACACATTTTGGATGATCCCGTCATAAAAGGGTGAGAAAAAGGATCACCCCGAGCGATCTGCCAGGTTCGCACTGGCTACACGGCTCGTCACGCAAGCCGTGGCAATTATAGTTCCTTTGTGCAGACCTGTGGTTTACAGCAGGAAGGCAGAGCAGATGTAGGATATCTGTGAACCGGTCAGCTTTCTCTCTGTTGATTCAGCAGCTTGCTTGGACTTCTTCATTGGGAGGAGCCAGAACCGGTCCACACTTGTCATGTTTCGTTGGTGTTGCTATTACCATACTATGCAATATGGGTCGCTGTGATCGCCTCTACCCGATAGGAACACTTCGTTTCTAGCCGATGCTGCGGGATTCTTGGTCTAGCAATCTGGAAATCATCTTGTTCGAGCCAGGCAAAGCACCCATACCAAGTATGGGCGGACCTCTTCGATCTCGCTGCCCCCCACCTCCCTCTCTCTCACAAAATGCAAGTCATGGCGACAGAACGCAGGCGCTGCAGCAAATTTGCCCATCTTCCGTCGGCCGAACTCTGCCTTATCGCTGCAGCCTGCAACTTTTGGGAGAAAACTCGTTCGAACTCCATGGGAAGACGGATTGCCGTGAATCTCGTGATGGGTAGCGATGGTGTGTGTACGTGTGTGTGTGTGTGTGTGTGTGTGTGTGTGTGAATGAGCTTTCACGTACCTGACTTTGTTCGCCCCTGTCGATGGTGACCCATACAGCGCGCGCTTGATCAGCATGAATGGATTTCATGCAGTCGGTCAGGCGGCCGTGTGTCCACCGCAATACAAAATTAACTGCTCGTAAAGTTGGAAGTTGGCGCAAGGTACCGGGCAAAAAAGGCCAAAAGTCCCCCACCCTTGTCGCGCCGCCTTCATCTGCCGTCGGCCCAACCCTTCGGCTTTGCCCACCCGAGACGTCGGTGAGGACGGTGGGAAAATAAAGAAAAGAAAAGAACTTTTGCGGAACCTGCCCCCCTCCTCCCGGTCTCCATCCTCCACAATTACAGTAGTGATCTTGCCTGCCTAAGAGCATTATGACGAGAGGGCAGTCCAACATCGTTTTTGAGGCAGATAATTCATCAGCCCAGTGTTACGCCAGCACAGCTGCACCTCGGGCGGCGCGTTGTCAGTTGTCAGGTTTCCCAGGTTCTCCTCGCCTAGGTACGTGCAGGATTTGTCACACCACCTTGGCGCGCGAACCGAACCACCCAGCGTACAATGCGGAGAACGAGCCCATTTTCTCCTGTATTTCATGTAAATTTAGTGAATAAAGTAAGCCATAGTTCTAAGGACTAATGGTGGATGGCGCTTTCACATGTTTGCTTAGCCCCTGGGAAAAGAGGCCCACCGAGGGCCGCCCCCGGTCTGTGACCGGTGGATACTATAGATAGTACGCGACCATCGACAAGTGACTGGAAAATGCACCGCGCTCGGCGGTTTCGAACAAGGCGAAAGCCACAACAATAAAACTTAGGCCTGTTCAACTTGGAAACCCTCGCCGTCGGTGAGTTTTGCGTACCGTAGCCATGTCTCTGCAGCTCAGTTGGATCCTACAGGAAGCCGAGCGCTGTCCGAGGGCCGTCCGTGGGTGACCGTGGGGCACTGTTGCAAGCGTCCGTCCGGAACTTTCCAGCTCGTCTCACACGGCTGACGGCCCGGTTGGTCTGTTGGAAAAGTACTCGACTATGATATATCCTTTTCCTTCCTTCTCTTATATTATGTGAATTCAAGTGTGGCTGCAAGCTCCCCCAGCAAGTCGAGGCGTTGGTCCGCTGATCTCGGTTGTGTAACCGCGAACAGTCTCAGCTGGACAGATCCGGTG